ATTACTGTTTGTTTAGTATTTCCAATGTGCTCAGCATGCTTCTGCAGAGTCCTTAGCCTTCTGGACCATGTCCCCAGGGCAGGCTTCAGTGCCATGATGGGAGAGGAGACAGGAACTGGGATGGGGTCGAGGGTTCGGCTGCAGGGCAGCTGCACCAGAGGCCTCATCCGCCCCCCTGCAGTCCCGCGGTGGAGAGCCTGTCAGCGTTGTTCCAGATCCAGGCGAGGTGGCAGACCTTTGTCCCCACATGCACCAGCCGTGGGGGCCACCCCTGGTGACGGTGTAACTGTGGGCAAGGTCACTCTCCAGGAGCCAGTGATGAGCAAAGATCCCTGGAAAAAGGATCTGGGCTGTGCCCCACAGCAGCCACTGCTGCCCATGCTTGTTATTTATTTAATACAGTCTCAGATTTTATGTAGGATTCTTGTGGTTAGTCATTAGTCCGATGAGCTTGCCGTTTTTTTCTTTTAATATGTGGGGTACCTGTGTCTAGGTAATGCCACTTTTCTAACCAATACAGAGTACAGAAAAAGAAAAGTCCATTTTTACTACTTAAGTATATAATAGAGAGTATGTAGAGGAGTTTACTGTATTTGGATACTTTAAAGGAACTGGCTTGTGAAACAATCGAGATTTTTGGAGGGCATAATTAACATTTCATTTTCCTCACAACTCTGTTATGGCTGTCTTCTGTCTCCTAAAAATATAATTTTATTTCAGAGAAATTTTAACTTATATAGACTAATTTATACGAATATAATGTTATAAAGCAAAGGAGATGAATATTTGTTGCTTAGGCATTGCCCTTTCCACTGTTCCCTTTTCTTGGCCTCCTTGCAGAATGTGAGGTTGCTGTCCATTCTCTTTCAGGACTTCTCTGGGTTCAGCAGCGTGACCGTGGATCAAGGCTCTTTCCTGGTTAGGCTCCTTATTTCCCTGGCCTCTGTCCAGTGAACCTTCAGAGGTCATGGCTTTTCCCTCTAGTAGACAATGTGTTATCTCAGAGTTCCACAAGCAGAGTAGCTAATCTTTAGCTCTCTGCTGTCTAATTCTTTCTCAGAAGTCTGATTCATTCAGTTCAATTCAAGCAAGTGTCTGCTGAGTATCCACGTTATGCCAGGCACTATTTTAGGTACATGGGATACAGCCATGAACAAAATAAACATCAGTCCCTCCCCTCCTAAAGGTGGTGCTATGGATAAGGAGACAGAAAGTAAGTTATGTAAATAAGTAAGATGCTTGTGCTTCATGCTGGGGAGAAGTAAAACAGGCAAGTGGAATGAAGAGTTTTTTTGGGGTGGGTAGGGTTGAAGGGGGAGTTGTGCTTTTAGACAGAGTAGCTGGGGAAGGTCTCACTGAGAAAGTTAACACTGATTAAACACCTGAAGGAGGTGATCGAGTGCACCATGTGGCCCTTTGGGGAACAACTTTCCAGGCAGAGGGAAGAGTGTGTGCAAAGGCCCTGGGGCAGGTTTACTGAGGAGGACATTCAGATGAGAGGTCAAGTATTGATATTAATAGCATAAGAGTGAGGAGGAGGTCAGCAGGTCTGGAAGGAATGAGGACTGGCCTTGCTTTAGGTCGTTGAAGCACTTTGACTTCTACTCTTTGTGGAATGGGCACATTGGAAGACTTTGAGCAGAGGGGTGGCATGGCCCATTTTACCTGGTGACAGGCTCTCTGGCTGCTCTGCTGAGGACCGACCACAAAGTGTCCAGTGGGGAAAGCAGTTAGGGAGCTGTTGTGATGTGTGGCCTGAAAGATCAACACTTCAGACCATGCATTTCTCCAGAGTGTCTACCTTAATCTGAGGAGAGTATCTATACTTATTTTTTTTTAATATTTATTTATTTTATTTATTCATCTTGCCTGCCTTGGGGGTTAGTTGTAGCACATGGGCTTAGTTGTGGCACATGGGCTTAGTTGCTCTGCAGCCTGTGGGATCTCAGTTCCCAGACCAGGGATTGAACCTGCGTCCCTTGCATTGCAAGGCAGGTTCTTAACCACTGGACCACCAGGGAAGCCCCAACACTGTTTTGTTTTGTTTTGTTTTTTAACGGGTGTAGAATACTGTTTCTCACTTGCACTAGTGAAGTCTTGTGCTGGGATAGTGACCAGCACAAGGTGGTCAAGTAAACAAAGCCCACAGTTGTTTAGTGCATGAGAATGTTGCTCCTGCTTCACCCCAGGCCCCTTTGACAGGGAGGCCTTTGTCTGGGTCTCCATCCTGGGCTCACCTCTCCTCCTGAGAACCAGCTTGTTTTCCTCTTTCATAATTATTAATCTTAGAGTGTCTTCTTGCTTGCTCTCCTTGGGAAACTGCTCAAACCTGGTTCCCCAGTTTATAGCCAGCGAGAGGATAGGACCTAGTGACCGCTGCATTCTTTTTTCCTTACCTTTTTTTCACACACATATTTTTCTGAGTTGCTTTAAAATGTGACAAGCGACCAACAAATAACATGGGATACAAAGGGCATTGCTTCACAATAAAAAGAGAGATATGCTGTCCAAAGTGTGGGTCATTTGTATTCTAGTTTTGTTTCCATAAATGAAAATTCACTCATACACACACACAATTTTTCAGGATGAAATTACCAGTGGCTAATACATTACTAAAACATCCTTATATCCTGACCGGTTTCAGTGCTAACTTGCCCATGTCCAGCTTCTGAATGTGTTATTTTATCTCCCAGTGGTATGTGACAGTGATACTGGAGTCAGATCAGCCATCCAGGTTGGGCTGGGTACTTAGAACTAGCGGGAAAGTTTATTTTAAAAACTCACTTTCCAGCCTGCCCCTCTGCCCATTATGATTTAATAAGACTTAGGAACATCTTTATTGGAGAAGGAAATGGCAACCCACTCCAGTGTTCTTGCCTGGAGAATCCCAGGGACGGGGGAGCCTGGTGGGCTGCCGTCTATGGGGTCGCACAGAGTTGGACACGACTGAAGCGACTTAGCAGCAGCAGCAGCAGCAGCAGCAGGAACATCTTTGCAAATATTTTGTACAAACAATACATTTTCTGAGAACTTGGATATTTGAAAGTATTTTTTTGTTGCCTTTATTACTGTTGAACAACTACTTGACAGGGTATAAAAATCTTGGGTCAGACTCTCTTTGTTTTAAAATTCTGAGTTTTGCTCAATTGTCATTTAACACTTATTGATACATAATGAAATCTTAGTTGCGTTAATTGTAACCCTCTCCCCCGCCCTCAACACTTTGACTGTTTATATTTTCATTTATTTTAATGCTTAACATTTGAAGGATATGAATAGGCGATTTCTTGGTATCAGTCTTAACAGAGCCGGTCATTCATTTTGCCTTTCACTCCTGTGATGTCCTGGCCATTACTGATGATCTGCATGTTGTCTGCACTTCCCGTTGGAACGCCTATTATTCATAGGTTGGATCTCTGTAATATCCACTTCATTTCTGTTTTCTTAAGTTTCATCTTCTTTCCTCCCTTTCCTTATGTTCTCTGCCTTGGAGACGCTCCTGCATTTTGTCCTCTGCATCCAGTTTTCAGCAGTGTAAAGTCCACCTTTCATCAGCTCAGTGAGGACTATGTTTTGGGCTCTGGGGCCTTTTATTTCATCCACCTCCCTTCTCATCTCTGCACTTTTTTGTTTAATAAAAGTAAGATGAATATCATTCAGAACAGAAGGCAGATGTTTTCTGAAAAATCTTCTGTCCGTGAAGTTAAATCCTTTTAGATGAGAAATTTTCCTTTTGAGCCACATCCTTTCATCCTTCTGTCTGTGTGCTTTATGTTAGTTTTTTCTTTCACTTTATGCTTGAACGAAGAGTCATCTCTCTGGGCCCAGTGTGGAGCCGTTTAGGAGAACACCTCCGATCTGTCTTCTTTCCTTGATTCACCCTGGGGTCGTAAGAGAATCACCACTGCCTCTTCCCACTGCTCTGCACACCTTCCCCCTTTGCTGCCTCCGATAAGGCGCCAAATAAAGTCTCACCCACTGGCTCTGAGCTGACCATTCACAGCTTAGCCCACTGTGCGCTCAGCTCCACGCATGACACGTGGGGCACCTTAATAAAATGCTCTCAGAAAATATGCACAAGAACATCCCCTTGAGAGCAGGTGTGATGCTGAAAGTGTCCCAGAGCTGTGATAATCAGCATTTTGTAAACAGTACTCTTACAAGACTGCCAAGCTTCCAAGTCTTGTGCCACTCAGATTGCTTTTACTCACTAATTTGATCTCAAGAGAAATACATTTTACTCATGGCTATTAAAACCCAACAAGAATTTGTATTTCCTTGAATCCTCACTTGGGTCTTCCTTTCCCGTTTCCCTCTCTCTCTCGCCATGTAGAAACACTGCCTCTTCTCCATTCAAGAGAAGTTGCTGATTTCTGAAGAGGAAGCGTTTATCTTGACATTCAATAAAATGGAATTATAGAAGTTTTGAATCCTGAAGTTATGGGGTGTGAGATCTTACTGATTTTATTTTTATTTTTTTGATTGGGAGAAAAATATAGAACTTTGTAGGAAACAGATAACACCATGGGCTATACTCTTCATTTTATCAGGACTGAAGATAAAAATTGAAAAAAAAAAATTCACCAAAGAGGTGAGGTTATCCGATTTGTTCCTAATCTGCTCTTAGCACAAGGGTTATGCTGAGCTATTCCCAGCACTTTTCAGAGACAGAATCCTCTCAAACAACCGTGTAACTTAGACATAGCGCTTTAACTCAGAGATGGACACGAGAGGGCTCAGTGAACTGGGCTGTTCCCACCAGAGCTTCCTCTGCTGTGGCTCTACACAGGCTCCCTTTAATGAGAATGTCAGTTTACCAGCTGAGATTAAACCAGTCAAGGATCAGGATGAAGGACTACATCCAAGGTACCGGATGGTTCAGTCTTCTGCAGGAGTTTCATATCCCCTCAACCTTGGCAGCTCTAAATCCAGCAGGAAAGTGCAGGCATTAAAACTACACATTTAAAATAACACATCTCTAATTTCATTTCTCTTTCCAGGTTTGAGATTTTTAAGAGCTCTCAGACTGATCCAGTTTTCAGAAATTTTACAGTTTCTGAATATCCTGAAAACAAGGTAAGATGTTCTTTCTCCAATTTTTTCCCCCTCCTTCTGGTCCCCAGTGCTAAGTTGTAAATATCAGGTGTGTTTGCCTTCATTATGATAAAATTAGTGTTCTTTTGTGCACAGAGAAAATGCTCCAACACAGAAATCTAAGGAGAGCCTAGAATTGGATCTTCTGCAGGGTAGGGGACTCTATGGTGAAGAGAGAGAAAGGGCCATGTATGTGGGGAAGTAGAGACAGCTTTGGGGCACCATGTGGGGTTGCTTGGGCACCAGCCACAGCATCGTGGAGAGAGGAGCACAGTGAGTGAGGGATAGGTCTGCTCATTGATTGGGAAGTCCTTGCTCACAGGTTTTAAATCACCCCTTTATTACATCACTAAATAAGAAATTGAACTTGGCCATAAAAGCAGTGGAAGCAATGCTCTTTGAGAGGCAATCACAAACCTCATACGGCAAACAGAAAATCATTTCATTTCAAAGTACCTTCTAGATGTTCACTTTATAGCCCGTGTAGCCCCTGGGGCTTGCTCTGTGAATTGCCTTCTGGGGAATACCTAAAAACCTCCTGCCGAAGGCGCCATGACTACTTCTGTTAACTGTGTTATGATCTGGAAAACACTACTGGACCAGGAGAAAAAAATTCCCCAGAGACCCTTTTCCTGATGACCTGCAGGTTCTCAGAGCCGGCCTGAAACCAGGGCTGCCTTGATGAATAAACTAATAAAAGAGGTTGGACGTCTTTTAATGGAGAATAAGTACAGGTCATAAATTTCTCTCATAGGAAATTACACTTTGAGAAACTCACTGCTAATGTTCCATTTCCTCTTCAGTTGGCCTTAGCGTGTTTGATAAATGATGAAAAACAGGACACCTCCGAGTTTGTGATTTATAATTAATACACCTGCACGCAGGGGGCGGGGGAGGGGTGGTGGTGCGGTGGGGGGGACTTGGACTTAGCATTGTTTTCCCAGTAACGGAGGCTGGGACTCAACTTCCGTATTATGTCACATCCAACAAGTGTGACAGGCTATTGGCTTTCCTTTTAGGGTCTTACTGTTTTTTGTTTATTTTTGTTTGTTTTAATTCCATACTGATTTCCCCTTGCAAACTGTCCATCTGTGTGAATGTGGGAATCAACTCACTTTCTGTTAGTCAAGTTAAAAAGAAAAGGAGCATCGAATGCTGTGGGAGTCTTCTACAATGTGTTCCAACACCCTTGCTTTCATAATCCTGGGGTCAGAATTTGCTGGTGCTCCATTGTGTGTACTGTTATTAATGTAGGGTGAATATTGTCATTGTTCCTATTTCTTCTGAGTGACAGTAACCTTCATTTCTACCATTTTATGACTCTTGTGTGCAGTGGATCCATATTACTCTTGAAATTAAAATGATTGACAAAGCCAGCCATCGCTAAGGTTTGCCTATATCATATTTGCTGCACTGGGTTTTTAAAGGTAGACTTGGTGAGGACCCAGTGCCGATCACAGGGGCTGTATTTAAGAGACACTCATGGGGATGGTGTTATGTGGAGCTATCCACACTGTCTAACATGGTATAGTGCCTCTGTCTCCCTGTTTCATGTCTACTTGTTCAGGAGTCTTTTAATCCTCGGACCCCAGCATTTTAAGAAGGTGCCATCACTCCGAGGAATAACATGGAAAGAACTATGTTCTCACCTTCCTTGTGCTCCATGTGAATCCTTTCTGGACTTAGGATAAGCCATCTATGTAAAATATCTTTTTCTGGGCTTTTGCCAAGAGGTCCACCAATTTCCCACTTCTTGGCATGGGCGGGGGCAAAACTTTCCTTTAGAGGTCGGAAATAGCACTAGCATCCCTTGGGGAAACAGTCCTCCTGAGAACCCTACAGTTAAGACAGTTCCTTCTCCCGGTGCAGAGGAGGGGAATAACTGAAGCAATGAGTGAGGGTAAGAGGCGACTTTCTGTGCTGGGAGAGTCATGTGGTGGTGGGCTACCATGGAGTCTGCCATCCTAAGCCCCAAACATTTTCCCAGCATCCTGCTGCCAGAATTAAGCTCCTTCTGTCATTGGAGGATGGTTTCCATCTCAGCCTCACACTTGGAATTGTCCCAGTTCCTTTGGCTTGTGGTCACAACCATGTGAGTGGGTCAGCTCAAGCTTGAATCGAGCATCCACCTGTGCAACAGGGAGAGGGTGCCAGGATTGAGTTTTCTGCTTTCTGAGAGCCCCTGAGGGAGGGAGAGCCAGACTATGGTTGGTCCTGGGATGCAGACCTTGGGAGGCATAGAGGAGAATAGTTAAGCAAGGCTCAGACTGAATGAGGGGCAGTCAAGGATCTTTTCAAGGCAAAAAGGATGTCTTCAGTAAGCCTTATAGACAGCCCGGTGTCATCTTGGTGAGGCTGGAGACTGGGCGTGTGAGAGGGAAGGAGGGTGCAGCTGATTTCCAATCATAGCAGCTGCAAAAAGAACATAAGTGAGAGGGGAGAGCCCCTTAGAGGAACTTCCTTGATGACTCAGTGGTAAAGAACCTGCCTGCCAATGCAGGAGACATGTGTTCAATCCCTGGGTCAGGAAGATCCCCTGGAGGAGGGCATGGTAACCTACTCCAACATTCTTGCCCGGGAAACCCCACGGACGGGGAGCCTGGCAGGCTACAGTCCATAGGGTCGCAAAGAGTCGGACACGACTTAGTGACTGAACAACCACAACAACTATTCTACCATGTCACTTATCTCCCACGTAGCATTCCATGCTATGTACAATATTTACCATCATTTACCTAAACAACACCCTTTTCTTTTCTTTTTTTTTACATTTTGGAAACTGAAACCACTGTACTATCTAAATGACCTCAGAAATGGCTCCAAGTTTAAAGTCCTTTAAAAGAGTATTCAATACAGAGACTTGCAGGCAGAGGCCACATCATGAAGGCTCTCAGATGTCATGAATTCCACATGGAAATTGTATGGAAAGTGGGTTTGAAACATCTTAGCCATTGATGTTTAGATGTCAGGGGGGCAGTTGTCCAGGCATTGGTACTAGGGACTGGCCTTAGAAAAGGGAGAGAGATTGAATGATATATAAGGCATAGAATTGACAGAACTTGAATTGGTTTCACCCTGTGTCTTAATAGCTCAGGCCCTTCATCCCCACGGGATACAGTGCAGATGACTTTGAGGGGGCTTCACATCTGTCTGGCAAAGGTAACAATGAAACAAAATAAGGGTATTGGCACCTATCTGTATTCTCAGCCAGAAGCAAAGAGAAAGATACTAATCAACCAGAACTGGGATGAATTTGTATTTTTTTCTAGAAGGAGGATGACGTTTTCAGTGTCAACCAAAACATGGCCTGGTAAATTCACTGAGCAAAGATAAGCCCATGGTTCTGTCTTTAGAGATAATCTTGGAAAGAGATGGGCATTCATTCTTCCAGTATCTACAGAGACACACACGCCGTCTCTCTCTCTCTTTTTCTTTCTCTTTCTCCCCCAGTATCTACAAAGTCCTGAGAAAGGTCTCTGATCTGTAAAAACAGGACTGTCTCTGTGTCTGCCCGTGGATGATTCATTGTATCCTTTCGTGGCTAGTGAGAACTCATGGGCCAGGGTCCCAGAAACAATAATAGAAAACACAAAAGTGAAGTTAGGCTATCATGCAAAGATCACACTTTTTATCCCTTATCACGAGAATGCTAGAATCTGAATTGTTCCAATCACTCTCATCATTAGGACCTTAGGGTTCAGTCCAGACTTCTGGACTTGGCCCTCAAGTCTTTATCTCCAGTGTCCACGCAGAGCCCAGAGACCTGCCCTGCAACCCTTTTCCTCCTTCCAGGGAGCTCTTTGCAGCCTGGTGAGGTTCAAATGTTAGAATATGGAGAGAGTGCACTAAGGGTTAATCTTGTATCTCTTGCATAGAGCTTTTAGATGATTGCCTGGCCATAGAGTTTAATTTGAAAAGCAAATCCTAATACTGGGGATCTGAAATAATGCAGATGCCATAAAAATAATCAGATTTCAGTGCTTAATAGAGACTCTTTCAGCAACAATGATTAAATCTTCTCTACACAACAGAGAGCTCCCTTAAGTGCTATTAATATCACTGTGACAATCACTAAGAGATTAATAATCACCATACTAGGTCATTTTCCAAAGCACCATGAGGCCCAGAGACTCCCATAGTTTTACTATCTCAAGAGGGCTCTGCATGGTTATTGTTGGGACGCTGCTTTGTTCCAGCATCCAGGACTATGTGAGTGAGTCACCTCGGCACTTAATTATCTTCTGAGAAGTTGAGCAGCACAGGCATCCCTGAGATCTCTTTCTTTGCTCCTGACTGCCTGTTCCTCGTGAGTCTCCCACTCTCCAGTGTGGATGGACCTCAGAGGAGGCTTTTCCTTCATTCTGGCCTCCCCTGAGAAACTGGTTGGGCAGTGGATATGGTGGTAACCTCTCTCCTCTCTGGGGCAGTGCCCTCTGACCCTTCTCATATCCTGTGCAAGAGTGTGGGGGAGTCACAGCTTTGCTTTCACAACAGGGAGGACTTTCTGGTGGACCCCAGTCTGTGGCTCTTTCACAGCGTAGTGGACAAAAGGGCAGTCTTTGGGGCCACACTGCCTGGGTTCAAATCCCAACTCTGCTGCCTACTTGTGTGAACCTGGGTCAGTTTCTAAACCTTGGGACCAACTCATAGAGTCTTTATGAAGATTAGATGAATTAATATCCATGAAGTACTTAAAATGGCAGTGCACATGGTAAATCCTGTGAGAGAACTGGGCTCTCCATTCTTACTAGGGTGATCTTAAACTCTCAGAATTTCAGTCATTCGTTTTCCCTTGAGAAAGAGGTGGAAGGGGTCAGAGATCAATCTATTAAGTCCGATGGGCTGAACCAGCCTGTGGGCAGTGTTACACCCCTCTGGGAAGACTGAAAAAGATAGAAAATAGGGTTCTTTTCTGCATGATGCAGTTGGGAACACGAGAGAGTCAACTAGAAATGTAAAAATGATGGCTTAAGAGAGTGGGATTGGTGTCCAATGATTAGCTGGAGATAAAAAAGCCACAGGTCACTTTGTATTGCCAGTGGGTGGAGTTACTTTAAAGAGGAGGTATGGGCTATACCAAGCTTTGGAGAAAGGGAAATCTTCAGTAGGTGGGGATGGCTTTCAAGCTGAGTCATAGCATAAACAAAGACTTGGCAGATATTTTTGGCTTTGATAGAAGTTGCAAGAATTTATGTAGAAAGAATAGTGGTAGGAGAATCTGAAACTTGAGCGGGTGTGGAAGGAGGCAGTGTAGACATAGTATTTTAGTCCCTGAGAGCCTTTGGACAGGGCAACGACCTCCTGACAACAGTGGTTGAGGGGCTGTACACCCAGTGGAAGTAAATGTGGTGAAGGCAGATAGGAAGAATGCAGAGAGGAGACCAGCTCACTCTGTGCAAATTCTTAGAGGCCCTACTGTGCGCCAGGGACTCACCACTCCCAGGCTTCTGGCCGACAAGGCCCCTACTCTCAGGGAGCTAAATATCTAGTGAGTTCCAATTGATCTTCTTAAAGAACACCAGTGGATGGCGAAATTTTTAGGTGTAAGATTGCTGGGGAATAGGATGTTCCTATGGCCCCAAAGTCCCACTCCCCAGCTGGCATATTGATTACAAAGGGAACCTGGTGCCTTTCAGTGGCGCCACCTGGGGCTCCCATGAATACCGAGTGACTGAACCTGATGTAAGAGTTGAAATTTCCTGATGTGATGCCATCCCAGGCAGGTATTCTCAACAGATGTATTGAAACAGGATCTAGTCAGGGGCAACAGTCGGACAAATCCAGAATATGGGACTTTCTGGATAACAGCAGGCCTGGGTGCATAGAAAATAAAATAGTCACAGGAAAACAGAATAAAAAGGGTGTGTGTGTGTGTGTGTTTTGGGAGGGAGGGAGGCGGGGTGTGTTATATACAGATTAAAGGAGAATAAAGCAGAGAATGGCAAATACACAGCCTGTGGGCCAATCAGCCCACTGCCTGTCTTTGTAAATGAAGTTTTATTGGAACACAGCCACAACTAATTCCTTTACAAATCTCCTGTGAGTAGTTGCAACAGAGACTTTATGTCCCAGCAAAGTCTGGATATTTACTATCTGTCCCTTTATTAGAAGTTTCCTGACTCCTCGATTAAAGCCACATAATAATCAAATGCAGCACATTATTATCTCTCTTACTTCCTTAGTCAGGGTGAAAACATGAGAGCATAAGTAAGCCTAATTTCAGAGCATCTGCAGAAATCTAGTTTGGGAGTGAATATTAGATGACATTCCTGAATCTGTGTTAATTTCCTTAGGCAGGACAGTTGTACTATGATTGTTTTACATTGTGTCCTTCTTAGGTGTTGAGTGCTGAAGAGTTTATAAGGTTGCGTTGTGATGTCTACAACGTGCTTGTAAATGGTTTCATCCAGAAAAACAAAGAGAGAGAGGGAAAATATACAGATAAAGCCAATGTGGCAAAATGTTAGGTGAAGGGCATCCCAGTGTTTATTATACCCATCTTTCACTATTTCGGTAGATATAAAAATGTTCAAAGTAAAAAGTAATAAAAAAAATTTTAAACAACCAGAGGGGTTAATTTAGGGAGCACTTTCAGCAACTCAGATGTCATCTTCCTACAGGCTCCAGCCTGAACTACCTTTGCTGCCTTTCAGATCCTTCCCTTATGACGGAGGAACACTGGGGGCTTGGGGGTGGGCTGCCTCCTCCCTAAAGGGGCACTGTTGCTCTGGAACCCACTCCCAACAGGGTCTTCTGTAACTTGGGCATCTTGCTTTTTTGTCTCTTTTGTACAGTAATTCCATCAAACTGGTGAATCTGCTCTCCATTTTTATCAGCACGTGGCTCACAGCAGCCGGGTTCATCCATTTGGTGAGTATCCTTGAGGATGCTTCAGTTCTGGCTTTTCTGGAGGAAGACCCTCTCAGAGTCATTTTATTACCTGGGAGACAAACTTCAGCCCAGCTGGAGAATGCAGAAAAAGGAAAAACAACCGCACAAGTTGTCTAGGTTTCCAACCCTTTTACCCCAAACTAGTTCCAAATGGTGAGTCGTGTTCACACTCTAATTCTGTGTTTTTCAGCTCACCTGTATGGCTGGGGCAGGGGCTTCTGTAGATTTTTTTTTTTTTAATTATGTCTGCAATAACCTCAGTAAACCACAAGATGGCAGTGCTTCCTAAGCAATCACTGGAAAAGGTTGGCGACCTGATAGGAAGTCTGATTCCTATCTCTTGAAGTGAAGTGAAAGTTCCTGAGTTGTGTCCGACTCTTTGCGACCCCATGGGCCATACAGTCCGTGGAATTCTCCAGCCCAGAATACTGGAGTAGGTAGCTGTTCCCTTCTCCAGGGGATCTTCCCAACCCAGGGATCGAACCCTGGTCTCTCGCATTGCAGGTGGATTCTTTACCAGCTGAGCCACACATCTCTTAATAAGTAACAAATAACAGATTCCTCAATTTCTCTTCTCTCCCCTTACAAGGGCTTCCTTGGTGGTTCAGCTGGTAAAGAACCCGCCTGCAATGCGGGAGACTTGGGTTCAATCCCTGGATTGGGAAGATCCCCTGGAGAAGGGAATGGCTTCCCACTCCAGTATTCTGGCCTGGAGAATTCCATGGACTATATAGTCCATGGGGTCACAAACAGTTGGACATGAATGAGTGACTTTCACTCACTCCCCCTTACAAAAAGGCCTCTTTGATTCTTTCGCTTGATTACCTGTCAAGTTATTTTGCATCTCAAAGATGTTAGTTCTTTTAAATTAACAACTCACCGAAAGCCTTATATTGTGAAGTCAAGTTGTACTCACATTCCCAGGGCAGATTTCTGCCTGGGAGTATAGCTTTTTTTTCTCTATACTTTTAGAAAGTATGGCTATTTTGAGATGTGTACTTCATACAAACACAAAGTGTTACACCTGGAAGGAGCATCATCTAACAGAAGTTTTGAGTAAAGTTGTCCTTCCCTTGCTGAGTTTCAGTCTGCTTAAGGGATGGAAGGAAGCATTATTACCTATCTACCATTGGGATTTTTGTGATTGGCATTCAAAGGAAAACTTCTGAGCTATCACTCAGTTACTGGATCTGATGGTTCCCCACCCTACCCACCCTTTTATACTGATGAGATTCTTGGATGAAATCACCCTTAGATAATCACTCTAACTTTGCCAAGTGTCAAAAATCACAGATATGGAGGGTTAGTTGGTTGTTTTCAATCAGCAGTGACCTCACCTTCCTGCTGTGTGAAGGACTGGATTAGACAAAAATTTCATTTCATAACATTTTATGGAAAGACCCGAACGAACTTTTGGGCCAACCCAGTACATTCTTCTTCACCAGGAAACCTCCACGAGAAAGGGCACATTGAGGACAAGCACTGATGTGTGAAAGAGGCCAGGTCTTGGACACTTTCTGCAGAGGCAGTCTGGCGATCTGGAGGGAGGCTTGGGGCTGGCCATCCACAGGGCCCATTCTGGCAGGTTGCAGGCATTGGCCTTCGGGTGTATGGTAGGGCTGGGCCCCTCTCCTCTACAATATCTCTCCTACCTGCCTCACATTTGTTGGCATATCATGGGTGATGGGAGGACAGGAAGTGTTTTGTGAGTCTAATGGGCGACTGCAAATGAAGATGAAAGAGGAGAGTGAAAAAGCTGGCTTAAAATTCAACATTCAAAAAATGAAGATCATGGCATCCGGTCCCATCACTTCATGCAAATAGATGGGGAAACAATGGAAACAGTGACAGACTTTATTTTCTTGGGCTCCAAAATCACTGCAGATGGTGACTGCAGCCATGAAATTAAAAGATGCTTGCTCCTTGGAAGAAAAACTGTGACCAACTGAGACAGCATATTAAAAAGCAGAGTCATTACTTTGCCGACAAAGGTCCATACAGTCAAAGCTATGGTTTTTCCAGTAGTCATTTATGGATGTGAAAGTTGGACCATAAGAAGGCTGAATGCCAAAGAATTGATGCTTTTGAGCCATGGTGTTTGAGAAGACTTTTGAGAGTCCCTTGGAAATCAAACCAGTCAATCCTAAAGGAAATCAGTCCTGTATATTCATTGGAAGGACTGATGCTGAGGCTGTAGCTCCAGTACTTTGGCCACCTGATGCAAAGAGCTGATTCATTAGAAAGGACCAAGATGCTGGGAAGGATTGAAGGCAGGAGGAGAAGGGGACAACAGAGGATGAGATGATTGGATGGCATCACCGACTCATTGGACATGAGTTTGAGCAAGCTCCGGGACATGGTGAAGGACAGGGAAACCTGGCGTGCTGCAGTCCATGGGGTCGCAAAGAGTCAGACACAACTGAGGGACTGAACAAAAAGAAGTCAGGAGCAGAAGCTTTCCACACCCATTGCCTCTGAGAGATTTCCTGCTATACCTGCAGAGATGAGTTGTCCCCACAAAAAGCAGAAACCCCATGGGCCGCAAAGCCGAAAATATTGACCATCTGGCCCTGCACAGACTAAGCTTTCTGGTCCTTTGTCTACAGAGTGTACAGTTTGGAATAGTTCTCCTGAGCTCACATTTTGTGCTCCCGAGGGAGGCTACTGCAGTTTGCAGGGCAGAGCGGTCCCTGATCTTCTGCAAAGCAGGGAGAGCCTAGTCAGACTCTGAGAGATGCTGTTCAGGGTTTGGGTGTGTAATCTGAATGAGCAGGGTCCCCCAGGCATCTCCTTGGTCAAAAGGATGAAAGGAGGAGGCTCTCTGTGGGAGGGTCCAGGATTTCTTTGGGACTGAGCAAACTCTAGACCAGGGCAGGGCTTTCTGGCTCTTTCCTGGAAAAGAATGCTGTAACACATGGCTAGAGGCAGTGCCCTAAAATTCTGCTGGCCTCAGATCTTTAACAGTGAGAAGAAAATGGACTCTGGATACATACCTCAGTTCCTTCCCTTCTCTGCCCCCATCAGCCTGGTGGGTATGTGGGTGTGGCTTTCATTGCATTTTTTCCACTACCTGCTCAGAGGCTGTGAGCCCAACTTACAGAGCTCCACTTGGGGCAGCAAACTCCTGCGGTTGAAGATGAAGAATATCCAAAAATAGCCTAGATGCTGGAGCTTTGGTGTTTCTGGTTGATTACACCTATAATGTTTTTCCTTTCTCTCCCCTGTCTCCCTGATTTAGGTGGAGAATTCAGGGGACCCATGGGAAAATTTCCAAAACAACCAGGCTCTTACCTACTGGGAATGTGTCTATCTGCTCATGGTGACCATGTCCACTGTTGGTTATGGGGATGTTTATGCAAAAACCACGCTCGGGCGTCTCTTCATGGTCTTCTTCATCCTCGGGGGACTGGTAAAAATGCTTTCTTACAATGTTGATTTTGTGATCATTGATATTTTCTATTATCCATTTTCTGAAGGCTGTGTATTTGACCCTGTGTTTCTGCATTAGAAGCAAGTGACTGCCTTAGTGTTACAGTCCAGTTAAGGCAATCCCAAATGCCAGGGTGCCTTTTCTGCCTATTTCTTTTGTGTATTGAGTTTGTTTCCCGGAGACCCAAGCACAGTGTCCTGTGAGGGGCGGCCATTTAGCCCGTAGCAAACCTAATTGTCTTAAGAAAGGGATGCTCACTTATCAAGTGAGAGGGTCTGTGCCTTCATAATGTAATTCAGCCTCTGATATTCTGCAAGGACAGTGTTATCACCTGACCGGGTAGATAATGTTGATACTCTGTAGACAATTTGCGGTTTCAAGAGCTCCCCACCCCCATCCTGGTCCTCCCCAAACTTCCAACAAACACTGTGGCTGGGCCCTTGCCCTAAAGAGGAGGGTCCCCACCCCAGAGGACAGAGAGTGCACTACTCCCCAGATGGACATCCCAGGTGAGCTGAGTGTGGTTTTGTAAACAGACCACAACTCCCTTACACAGCGACGGGTGGGTGCTTCCGCCCTCACTCTGTAAGTCAGAAAGTCGCACTGTTTGCTTTCCTGGTCTACGCAGATCATCTCAGTGGGTTACCACATACTTTTCAATGGGGATTTCTGGCCGCTCATCGGCAGTGACTGCATTTTGTCTTTCAGAGCAGCCCATTCGATGTTTAGATTTTTGCTGTGTGTGAGGTAAACCTAAACTCACACACAGCTTTCACATATGTACACTGCACATGCATTTATCTCATGCATACACACTCTCTGTTTTGTATGCATATGGCGTATACATTTGAGAAATGTATATAAATGTACGTGTGGTGTGTACATGCTCACAGCATTCCTGCAGTACCCGTGAGGTCCCTGCAGATCACACGACTGCATTATCCAGCCACAAGCACAATGTTTGTTGGACAAAACATGGCAGATTTGTGTTTCTCCTCGCTATTCTTTCCTACCATGTGGTTTCCTAAATTTACCTTATGTGCTTTTTAGTGATTTTTTTTTTAATGGAAAAGTTTATATATATTTTAAATCTTCTCTTGGTGTTTATTGTCTTTAATCACTCATAAAGGCATGAATTATCATTTGAATTTTAATTAGAAAGGTTTTCTCTTAAAATTGTGTGTTTATGAATGAGTGTGTGTGTGTGTGTGTGTGTGTGTGTGTGTGTTATTCTCTAGCATGCCTCCCCTTATTTCTCTTCAGGAAGTAGAGCTAGATATCAATTTATTTATTCCTGTCTCCTTTACATTTTTCTTAACTGATTTTTTTGTTTTTTTTTTAAGTTGTCTAGGTTGGTTAATGTTTGTTTTTTTGTCCTATGTAACTTCAGAAGCTTGCTCTTTTTTTTTTTCTTTAAATACAATCCAGCCCATGAATACATACCTTTGCAGTTCTAGTCCTTTTGTGTTTTCAGATCTTAGTATCTCCCCCTTCCCCCTTCTGAAAAGGTCACCCCCCCTTTCTTTGGCCTGTCTTTTTAGTCTCTCTTCTGTCTCCTATCTTCTCCTCAGGCCATGTTTGCCAGCTACGTCCCTGAAATCATAGAGTTAATAGGAAACCGCAAGAAATACGGGGGCTCCTATAGTGCGGTTAGTGGAAGAAAGTAAGTATGCCAAGAGGCGTTGCTGCCTCCACTGCGGTAGAATCCTCTCTGCATGCCATTTTTGTTTTGGCTCTTGTTTCTTTGTTTCACGCATGTAGGCAATGTTTGCCCGCTACGTGCCCGAAATTGCTGCTCTCATCCTGAATCGGAATAAATTCGGCGGGACTTTTAACAAACATGGAGGCAGAAAGTAAGTCAGTTGCATCAGAAGAGATGTGGTTGAGTGACTTTCAGAGCCCCTATGGCGGTGACACCTGAATCCTGCCCCCCTTACACCCCACCTGAAGGGCCACATTCTATGTGGGGCGTGATGTCAGAAGGACTCCTCCAAGTTATCACAAGGACCAACTACTGAGACCTGTTCCCATTCACAACTCTCTTCCCTACCCATCTTTCCAAGAGACATAATTATATTTATCCTGGAAGGAGTCCATGTGTTACTGAACTCATATTTTCTATTCTGATCCCTAATGTGTAAGCCCAGTTTATTCATTCTTTGTATTAATTAGGTGATTGATTACATTCTGGTCCCTAAGACTAAAGAGGTGTCATCCTATGGAGTTTTTGTGCAGCCAAACCATGGGCTTATACTCCAGCAGGGAAGTCCCAAGGAGGGCAAGATCAAGGTGACATTGGCACTCTGGTCCCCAGGAGACCAGGTCTCTTTAAGCCAGGAGGTACCAAGCTTATCCTCAGAGGGACTCATTACTCAGTTGAAATTCCTTCTGGACAAGAAATATGTTTATAGTATATCAGGGCACTGCGCGGGCTTCCTGATGCATCTTTTGTTTGGCTTTCCATACATGAATGCCTTCTTCTTGGGGACTGTTTCGATTTGTGCTCACATCATTTTGTCAATATCAGTGTCAGTGTGTGGGTGTGTTGTCAGCTAGAAGTTTTACTCCTAAGTAGATATAAGGCCTTGATTGCTCTGTCTCGAAGGAGAAGGTTGGAGGGAGGCAGGGTGGAAGCAACCATTCTGTACTGTTTTTCTTTCAAAGCTTTTCTTGAGCATTGGATTTTGTTTGCTTTTGAGTTTTGGTTTTCATTTTAACTTCCATTGAGTAAGATATACACATCTTTATATATAGCTCAAGGATTTTATACCTATGTACACACCCAGTAACTACTGCCTAGACCAAGATACAGAATATTTTCTATCACTTTGCCCCTTCCCCAGTCATGGAAGTTCCTATTATGGAATTAGGGTTTTTTTGTTTTGTTCTTATTCCATACATTTTAAAATTTTCACTCAGTCATGTCTGACTCTTAGCTACTCCATGGACTGAAGCCCACCATTCTCCTCTGTCCATAGAATCCTCTAGGCAAGAATACTGGAGTGGGTTGCCATTCCCTTCTCCAGGGGGTCTTCCCGACCCAGGCATCAAACCCGGGTTTCTTGCATTGCAGGCAGATTCTTTACCATCTGAGCTACAGTTTTTGATTAAATTTAAATACATATTTGTTAATTTTTACAGTGTTGTGTTGGTTTCTGCTATATAACAACAGAATCAGCCATGATTATGCATTTTCAAATGAGCTGTTGAATAGCCTATTTGCTCTTTAAGAGAAAAATAAAAGGAGTAGCATCGTGTTTCCATCCACCGCCTCCTCCTTGCCTGACGGTCACATTGGAAGGAGCCCACCTCTTCTCCCATCAGTGAAGCCATTGCATCCTGAGCTCAGGTGTCCAGTCCTCTGTTTAGAAAATGAGGAGGTGGGGAAGAGGACTCATTTTCTTGAACTACCCACTGGACACCCGTTTCCTTTCAAAGGCATGGAGGACAGAGGAGGCCAGTTGGCGTCTTTTCCAGGGAGGCAGCCATTCCCCCACCTCCCCTCTGATGGAGCCCTCCTCCTCCTATTATCCTAACAGCCCTGGATGAGATTAGAACCAAGCTGTTCCGATTTCTGGGCCATTGGTTAGATCCAAAAGGCCAAATAAGTCCAGAGATTTCCACTGGTCATTTATTCCATGCCAAGAGGAAAACAGCCTCTTGGTTCGTTTTGCCTTGAAGGTGCGGACAGGTCGCCATAAAGCAGAAGGCACTCGGGGCACACGGGCTGCCTTTATGGCCTCCCCAGGCCACTGTCTCAGCCAGCCTTCCCCTCTCCCTCACCGCCCCTGAAGATGTCAATAAAATCAATTGCCCTGATGTCTGTGTTGAAAGTATTTCCTGACTCTAACTCCAGGTACATTTTTTTTTCCCCTCCAAAATAGCTGCCATAGTCCAGTGTGGGTGGGCCTGCTGGCGGGGGGCTTTTGTTGACGGGTGACCCAGATGAGGCCCTGAGACCCACAGTCGCTCACACACTCCAGTCCCACCCGGTTGTCACTTGGCCTTGGCCCCTCTGTGCAAATCCCTGCGTCGAAGGCTTCAGATCACAGACTTCCTGTAGCTTTTGTTCTGGCTCCATCTCCATCATCTTTTATCACTACTTTTACCCTGGTTTTTTCTCTTTCCTCTTCTTCCTTTATGAAAATGCACACTTTGCCTTTAATGTTCACTCTGGGTCTCTGAGGTCCCCCGACCCTGCGGACAGAAAGTAGGTTCTGTCATCAGCACTGGGTCTGTTCGCTTTACTTTATGCATTGTTTCCTGGTTCAAAAGCTAATTACTAAGTAGTTTAAAGAAGCCTTTTGGTCACTTAGATCTTTCATCAGAAAATATAAGCTTGGGAAAGGAATGGTAATAAAGGGCCATTAGCACCCTTTGTTTGATGTTGTTTTTCTAGTCAGTAGAACAAGATTGATGAAATGTTATGTTTGGCCAAAATTTGAGTTTTCATTTGGAATTCAGTGTTGAGAGAATGGGCTGTCAGAATCAATAAGTTTTCTTTCGCTTGGGATATGGGCATGTGGTAGTAATTAGCAATATAAGGTCTTTAGTTGAGCAACCAAGCATGGATTCTGGCAGCAAACATAATGAGAAACTACAGTTGTTCTATTTCTAACGTCAAAAAGTTTCCAGATAAAATTAAATGCATTTGCAAAAGAAAAGCAGCTAAACTTGGTTGAAAGCTAGAATTCATACTTAAAATAGTGTGCTTTGCCCTGCGTTTTTCTGTACGCATAAATATATGTGCTATACCCACGGACACATATCCATGTATTCGTTCTCCCTGAGATTTCATCAGATGGATGCCCAGAAAGTAACTTAAACATATACATAGTTAAGGGATTTGTTTACATGTGCACATTTTGCTCAGAATATAACTTCTCTAACAATGCATTAACTTGTCAGAGAACTCAAGGTAACGCGTGACCCAAAGCCATGGAGACACATGAATTGGAAATTCATTTAAAGTAAAAAAAAATTTAGGTAGAGAACCATGGGGTTTTGTTCACACAACACCCAATTTCAGGATTTTGGAGAATATGAAAATTTCAGCGGCACCTAATTTTCAGTTCTAATCTATGTTGGCATAATAGAAACAGTTCATGTAGTGTCCCCAGAACATCCTCACCCAGCAACACAGCATCCAGGGCTCATGGTGGCTCACGCCCATATTCTTATCGACATCCCTGGCCTGACCTCCTACAGGACACCCAGAGCCAACAGTAGGTATAGGGGTGTGTGTGTGAGAGAGAGAGAGAGAGAGCCATTCTCTAGTTTTTCCATTATGATGTAGTCTGTAAGATAGGGACTTGGTCAATAGCCAAAGGTCTAACCAGTATCTTGTCAGGCAGTCTCTCGAGTTGAGGTCTTGGGAACAATTAGTCTCTTTGAGCTGAGATCTTAGATCTTATTCAGAAGGGTAGTCCTCCTGTAGCCCAGCCTGCCTCCCGAGGCCACTGTCTCCACTTCTTTCCCTTCCTGTAAGCTCAAAGCCTCTCAGAGGTGGTAGAGTGGAGGGGTGAGGCTCCCATGGCCTTTGGGATCCCAGCTTGCTCTTCTTCCTCCCATCGCTCCTGCTGTTTTCCCCAGAGGTTTCATCTCTGCTTGTGACTCAGCCCACTCCTGGTTAGTTTATGAGAACTGACAAGATCATGGTCTGAGGTCACATGGCCAAGGGCCATGGAAAATAATCAGCCAGAGAGAAGAATCCATCTGCGGTAACCCCCTTGTCAGAGACAGCCGGACTGGGGAGCCATCCCGACACTGGACTTCCCATGATGGGGCTCCTGGGGCCTGAAACTGAAGCAGCCCTAGGCCAAGTGGTTGGGAGATGGGAGGATAGATGGGTTTGGATTGTTCTACTGATTCCTGGTAGCTAAATGCTCGGAGGACACAGAGAGAAGGATGGACAGTTTAGGACAAGGAATATGGAAAGGGGGCCAAGAACTGAATGTAAGAACTGGGAGGAAGCTCCTTGGCTGGGTGAGGAGTCTGTGTTCCCTTCTAGCTGGGGAATAGGTGTCACAGATGAACCTGGCTCTAACTCCTATTCATGAAATCTGCCTGTGAAACATAAATATACAATGGATTCTCTTAGACCTCCTTATATAGGTGGAGGAGTGCCACATCCTTCTGGAAATGAGAGCATGAATCAATAGAACCCAAGTCTTGTGACTGGCTTCTGTGGCAATGATATTATCTACAGATGCTTCCATCCTTCTGCATCCCCATGGCAACTGTGTAAGGAAGTTATCACCATCATCTCCATTCGCAGTGACTTGCCTGACATCACAACCCTAGTAAAGGGTCAGTCTGCTCGACTGGGCCATGCTGCTTCTCTAGATCATCACTTGAGACTCCTTTCTGCTCTAAACTCAGTGATCCTATCACTGTAACTTTTCTCCCACCTCTACCCACAGTGGGGCCAGAACATTGCATAGAAGATGATGAGGAAGGTAAAGGCTTGAGCATCACTTTGGACCCTTCTCCCCCTTCTACTCACCTAGTGCCTCTAAGGAGCCTGGCCCTAGAGTCAAGGACAAAAAGGTGGAGAGGGGACAGAAACATTTCTTCCTAGTTTTTCTCATTTGGTTAGATTGGAAAAGTGTTTACCTCTTGAACGTGTCTAACAACAAGGGGCTCTTAAGCATGAACAGACAG